AGTCTCCCGCAGCTGGAAGAGCTTGGGGGTCATGACAGCCGGAGAGAAGAAGCGGAGGCAGAGGAAGCTGGTGACAGCCACAAATTTGGCATGCTGCGACCACCAAGGTAAGGGGAGAAGTGTGAGAGTCTGTTCCAACACAGAACACCCCCAGACACCACACAGAGTGATGCACAGAGTGACCAGGGCTGCTGTCTGGATGCAGCACGGCCCTGCTCACTGTCCATCTGTGTCCCACCCCTATGCTCAGGACAGTCCCCATCAACCAAAGATGGGGAACACATCTGTGTTCCCTATCCCCTGGGGACATCCCTGTTTGACACCAGACCACCCCCTGCCCCAGCCTGACCTGGTGCTCGGGGAAGCGCTGCCCGACGCGCTGGAAGAGCTGCCGGAAAGCAGCGCGAATGACAGGGGGACACGCTGGGGCTGACTTGACGATGGCATCCAGCAGCTCACCAAGGTAGGACTGGAGGTGCTGTCGGCCCTGCTCGATCACCTCACCCTCCGTCTGCACCCGGTGCAGCCCTGAGCACCTGCAGGCAACATCACCATCACCCCCACAGCCAGGGAACACCCCCTGCCCCACTGTCCCACAAGCTCCTTACCCAACGTCTTTGGTCTCCACCTTGCCAGGGTCCAGCTCCACGTACTTCTTCTCCTCGAACACACGGGCAATGGTGGGTCCCAGGACAGTGTGCAGGTATGGCATCCCCGTCACCTGCCGAGGGACCGTGCAAGGGACAGTGATGGGCCACAGGTCTGGCACCCGACACCCCCAGGGTCACCCAGGGGATTTCCTCCAGCCTCCCAGTCCTCCCCCTGGGAACCAGCCCCCATGAAGGCAGCTCAGAGCCAGGATGACCTGGGAAGAGCAGACTTTGGCAAGTGTGGCACCTTGAGGAAGGACTCCATTGACTTTGAGGCCAGGGAGTTGCTCCGGAACAAAGTGTTGGGCTCACCTGCAAAACAGGAGAGGGTCCATGGCCTGGGGGATGGCCACAGGTCACCCACCAGGCAGCTGCAACCACGAGGAGCATTCCCAGAGGCTGTGCCCACAACACCTGGCCATTTTCATGGGAGTTACAGAGATTCCCTAACCTCAAACCTCCTGCTTCACCAACCTCAGCCTGCAAGTTGCTTGGGAAGAACCCAACAGATTCCCACACAGAGCACAGTGTGAGGGCTGAATCTCAACCATCACCCCAAAAAAATCCCCATGCAAGGTCCCCGAGGTTTTGCAGTCCAAGGAGAAGTCCCTACTCCAGCCTTACAGGGCTTGGCCAGCTCCAGCTCGAAGAGCAAGTCCAGGAACTCCTTGACCAGCCCTTGGCCCAGGAAGAGTTTGATCAAGCTGACAGCGACCTCCTGCCGGCACTCAGCCGTGGTGGTTTCGTCCAGGAGGGTGACCAGGTGCACTTGGCCATCCTGGAGGGGAGAGGCACCACAATGTGATGGCCCAAGGCAGGCTCATGCCCACCACAGAGCTGAGAGAAGGTGGATGCCCAGGCAGGGCTCGGCATGGACCCCTCACCTGGCGCCCTGACTTCACCTCCTGGCACAGGAGCTGGACCAGGGGCTGGTAGCAGTGGGAGGGGCGCACCGTCTCCGCCCCCGTCTCGTCCCGCAGCCTCACCTGCAGCTGCAGCGAGCCCAGGCTGCCTCGGCGCCTGCAGGAGCACAGGGTGGGTGAGTGGAGGGATGGAAAGATGGAAGAGTGCATGGATGGATGGAGAAATACTTCACCAAGCAGGAGGTGGCCTGACATCCCAGGCTGCTCCTCCAAAAGGATGATGCTTCCCAGGAATAAACCCCTTGCCCATGCCCCTGCAGGCACTGGGAGAACCCAACACCCTGTGCCAAGACTCACTGGTCCTCTACTCCGGCCGCAGCCTGAACCCCCCCTCCTCCTGCCCGGCCGCCTCCAGCCCCTGGATGCTGAACACCACCTAGGAGGGGAAGGCAGGAGAGGGCTGGGTGGGCAGCTGGGCCAGACCCCAGCAGCAGTGACAATGTTTGGGGGCTCACCTTGCCCAGGAAGTCATTCCTGCCGACGAAGTCCCAGTCCCACACCTCCACACAGAGCTTCTCCCCATCAGGCTCGGCCAGCTCGAACTCAAAGGTCTCATTCCAGCGAGGGTAACAGGATTTCTTGACCACCTGCAAAGGCAATGGCTTCGTCCTCCCTCAACAGGTGGATCTGACATCCTCTCAGGGACACCAAGCTGGGGATGCTGAGGGACAGGGATGGCTCTGGGCTCCCCCGTGGGTTGATTCCTGCACCACTGGCAGGCTGGGGATCATGATAAGCTGAACTCACAGTGCTCTCCTGTGTCTTGCCGTTGTAGCGCAGGCGGACAAAGGGGTCAGATGCACCATTCCGGTCCTTCCTGGCCAAATCCCTGCCAAGAAGAGGGGGAATCTACCAGGAAACTCCCAAAACGCCTATGAATATCCACTGCACCCACTCCCCTCCTTCATTCCCCAGCATGTTAAGATGCACACCCCAAAGACCAACAGATGAGGCAGACCCTGCCCCAGGACCCCCATCAGCTGCTGGGTGGTGAGGAGGATGCTCAGCACCCAAGGGACCAGATGCACCAGGGAAACTGAGTCATGGAGCAGTCTGGGCTCACTGCCCACATCCCAGCTGCACACACAGCCCTCTGCCACCCCCATGTCCCCTCCTCACCTGGCCTCCAGCACGGAGCAGCGCAGCTGACGGCTGCCCTGGCTGCCCAGGACCTCCACCCGCAGGTGGATCTCCCCCTGCACCTCCTCATCAGGATCCACCTCACTGAGGCTCATCCAGCCACTGTAGCCTGTGGGAAAAGGGAGGATACCCATGGATGGGTCATTGGGGGGCCCTTGGGACCAGCTTGCCCAAGGGGTGGGAGATGGGTCCCTCCTGGGACCCCCTGGCCACCTGTGCCCCTACCTTTGGGTTGCTCCACCAGCATGTCCCGGGTAATGCAGACCTTCCCAATAACGTCATCACGGCTGGAAAACAGAATCATAAAATCAACCAGGTTGGAAGAGACCTCAAAGATCACCAAGTCCAACCCTACCGTGGTTACTAGACCATGGCACTAAGTGCCACATCCAGTCTCAGCTTGAAAACCTCCAGGGATGGTGAATCCACCTCCCCCCTTGGCAGCACATTGCAATGCCTGAGCACTCTCTCCATAAAAAAATATCTTCCTAATAAGTGGGAAGCAGGACACGATGTGGGATTGGTGCCCAGGCAGGACAGCCCCTGCCCTGCTCTTTGGGGGGTCCTGAGCTGGGACTACCACAGTGTCTGTCCCCATGGAGCATGTCAGCCACCCTCTGCTGCCAGCTGGACAACAACCTCCACCCATTTGTGTCCCAAAGCCCAAGGCAGCATGGCCAGGTGTCGATTCTCTGGTGTCTACAATGGGGCTGAGCATGCAGGGAGCCAAAGCCACCAACCTCCAAGTCCCCAAGGTGAGCCCCCACCATACCTGAGCGCATCCTCATCCATGACATAGATGGAGACACTGTGGAAGCTGGGCTGGAGCTGCACCTCATACTCCTCCCCCCAGAATGGGGACAGTGTTTTCCACACCGTGGCAGTCCTGTGGGGCAGGTGGCACTGGTGACAAGGGGGACAGGGTTCCCTTAACTGGGCACTCCACCCTTCCCAGCTCTAGGAGCTTCCCAGCTTTTGGGGGCAGAAATCAGAGTTTTGGACCCACAAAAACTGGGCATGGGTCCTGTCCCTGCCTTGTGGCTCTGGACTGGCAAGACATGGTGGGTAACTTACAGGGGAAGGGGAGCCATGAGCTGTTAGACATCACTGTGTCTGGAAGAATGGCTCAGCCCAAAGTAGGGAATAATCATTCATGATAAATAATAACACATAATAATAAAAATAACAATCATCCTAATATTGTTCCTGCAGCAGGGCAGATGGAGGAACCCACCAGGAACCAGGTTTGGGGCTCAGCAGGTTTGGGGACCAGCCAGGGACCTGGAGTCACTCACCTGATGATGGCCTCATCGTCGATCTTCACGATGCAGTATGGGTCGCTGCTCCCTGTGCTGGAAGAACACAGCACAGCTCTGTCAGTGCCACCAGCCCTGGCACCCTACCCCAACCCCATGGGGCTCTCATGGCCATGGGTGACCAAAGCCTTCAGCCCCAGCAAACCCCCACAGAGCAGGGACCTTGAAGGGACACCTTAGGGCTACGGGGTGTCAGGGTACAGAAGCTGTTGAAGGCTTCAGTGGGTGGATTTGGCCATGGCTGCAGGTACGTGGTGACTGCAGCTCCACTCCCAGACCGGGGACACACATCCCTGGCCATGTGCAGCCACCGTGTCCCATTGGCAGCTGGAAGTGGCTTTCTTCTTCCAAACAGGAAGGCAAGGAACAAACAAACCCAACCCTTTCCCCGAAACGGCTCCAGGCACCTGTAGCCCCATTTCACACACCAAGAGTGAGGTCACAGCAGCCTCCCCCAGCCCAGGGGTGTCCCCAGACCCCTGACACCTCTGCAGGGATGAGAATAACCCCAGGGACACCCCCGGGGATGCAGAGGGTGCAAAGGGCAGGCAGTGTGGGCTGTTGGCAGCCACCACGATGCTTTGACCCTGTTTCCTCCCCAGGGACAAACCAAACCATCACTGCCAAAAAATAAGCACCACTTTACAGCTTTTTGCCCCAGTTCATCAGGAATGGGGCAGGGGTGGGGGCTCCATTCAGGAACAGAGGAGCCAGCAGGACCTGGGTGCTGGCCAAGGGGATAGAAAGGTTGTGGCTCCCATCCCACCGGCACAGAGCAGCCTGCTCCGAGCATGGATACTCATTAACACTGGTCCTGGCAGCATCATCAGCCAGCCTGGAGTGTCCTGAAGAAAAGGGGGTTGGAGATCCCAAGAACAGAGTGATTTCCCCATCCCAAATCCAGGGAGGCTGAGCCAGCTGCTGGGGGGATTGAAGCGATTTGGGGGACGACTGAAAGGGTTATTGGGGAAAGAATCCAAAGGGGTTTGGGAGATCAAAAGGGGTTTTGGAGGGAATGAAGAGTTTGGAGGGGACTGAAGAGGTTTTGGGAGGGTCTGAAAGAGTTCTGGGAGGGTGTCAAAAAGTTTTGGGGGAGAAACTGAAAGGATTTGAGGTGTTCCCTGCCCTGCCAAACACAGCTGCAGAGTTTCTCAGCACTGTGCATCCCACGTAAAACAGTAGCATCCCCATCCCCAGGCACCTCCATCCTTTTGCCCCATCCTCTTGACCCTGCAGTGCTGGCAGCACAGCAGGTTGCCAAGCTCCACTCTCCGGCGCCTGCTCCCATTCCATCCCAGACACCCTCTGGATGGGTTTTTTGAGCCGAGCAGTGGGTGTAGTGCCATTAACCGCAGCTCATTGCTGCCATTCCTTGCCTTGTGCAAACCATCAGGGCTGCAGGGAGCAGAGAGGCGGAAAGGGACCAGCTGCCTGCTGCTCCAGCTGTGCCCAGCAACGCGGGGCTGCCTTGGAGGGGAGCTGCAAACCCTTGTCCCCAGCGCGGGGACAACTCGAGCTGCTCCACGTCCCTGGCCGTAGGGTGCGGGGAAACCACCCTTGTAGCACTCAGACATCATGTTTTCCAGGGATTCAAACACAGGATGGGCACTCCAGGACGCGCAGCGGTGGCATAAATCCCTGCTGCGAGGAGCCTGGCACGGCGCCGGGTGACACTGCTCGCACAGCATCCCCGTGCGGGATGTCGGGAGGGGATGGATGCTGCTGCGGGCTGGGGGATGCTGAGCATCCTCTGACGCCCAGCCGGCTCGGAAGGAGCTGGAAAGGGGAAGGTTGGGTATGGAAAGAGGAAATGAGCAGTGTCTAAACAGGGGGAGGGAGGAGGAACCTGCGTGGTCTCGCAGCCACACGGCAGAAAGCTGGAAGTGAATATAAAGTGGTGTAGGCAGCAGTGCTGATCGGCCCTGGGTGGTGGCAATGAAATGAATACAAAAAAGTGAAATGTAAAAATAAGAGAACGAATGAAAAAATAACCTAAGAATAAAATTTTTTTCAAATTGGAATGATAAAAGAAAAAGGGGGAAAGTTAAAAGGGAGAATTGAAGATTAAAAGGGGAAGACTAAAAGGAAAAAAGGTGGGGAAATTAAAAGGAAAAAGTGGGGAAAATAAAAGGAAAAAAGTGGGGAAAATAAAAGGAAAAAAGTGGGGAAGTTAAAAGGAAAAAAGTGGGGAAGTTAAAAGGAAAAAAGTGGGGAAGTTAAAAGGAAAAAAGTGGGGAAATTAAGGAGAAAAGGGGGAAAATAAAAGGAAAAGGGGGAAAATAAAAGGAAAAGGGGGAAAATAAAAGGAAAAGGGGGAAATTAAAAGGAAGAATGAAAGAATAATTAATGATTACAAATAAAAAGTAAACAAGTGAAAATAGTGAAATAAAAAAAAAAGTGAATATTAAAAATGATCACAATTATTTATTACCATAATATAAAAACAATCTCAGACAAATCAAAATCTAATAAAATAAAGCAATTTAAAAAAATCGATGATAAAATAAAAGCCAATTAAAAAAAAAAAGAATCAAGCAGACCATTAGTTTCCTGGGATGCAGACGCAGGGAGGGTTTCCCAGCTCTCCGATGGGAGGGAGCTCAGTTCGGGCTGGTCCCGGACCCTGGCACAGGGTGGCACCGGGACCACCAACCACTGCATGGGTCTGCCCGTGCAGCAGGGA